ATATGCATATCATCGACCCAATAATGGTTATTAAGTAACAGTTTTACAGTACTTGCAACACAAATAAATAGGTAAAATGTATGTTATAAATAAGTGCCAAAGATTAGAGGTGTTACTAGAGAATAACATACACATAAAAGAAGGAGGTGAGATAAAGATGACAGATGTTTGGTTGATATAAGGAAAGAAGGAGAAAAGCCATATCAGAGCACACGCCAACCACCCATGTTTTCTGGAATAAATAAATAAATAGATAAATAAATAAATAAACAAAACCCAAACAAACAAATAAATGAATAAATAAATAAATAAATAAATAAAATGAATAAAATAAAGGAATAAATAAGTAAATAAATAAATAAGCAAATAGGTAAATAAATAAATATATACATCAATCAATCAGTCAATCAATCAATCAATCAATCACTCACTCAATCAATCAATAAAAAATTAAATAAATATAGATCTATTGGGCTTAGTAATCTTTACCATTGGGCCGACGTTCTGTTGCTCTGATGTTGTTGCGATGAGACCACGCACGACTTTGAGAGATTAATTTAGCTAAAGATGCTTTTGTTTTACGTCCCCATCAACACATTTTAGATAATTTAATTAGGAGGCAGGGTGTTGCGACCCTATCTAGTGTTAGGGCCATCCCCGGTTGAGAGCCATACAGCGTCCAAGCAGACAGATGGACGAAGATACTCGATAAAAAAGGACAAAGAAAATCCCCCCCCCCCACACGCGAAGAACAATTTAGATCATCCGAGGAGGGGCGTCTAGAACTTGCATGTTGAAAACAGAAGGAGATACTCGATACAATTCCCCCCACACGCGAATTGAACTCAAGTCAGGTTCCGGACTTCTGTTAGCGATGGTGAAGCACCTTAACTACATGTACTACACCACACACGCCGTGTAAAGGACTTGGTCTCTCTCTCTTTCTCTCTCTCTCTCTCTTTCTCTCTCTCTCTCTCTCTTTCTCTCTCTCTCTCTCTCTCTCTCTCTCTCACACACACACACACATTCTCTCTCACTCTCTGTGTGTCCAAAGTTGAGCTCCAGCTCGTTTCCAGCAGACACAAACCTTCAAGGATAAAGTGAGGTGTGAAACGATAATACATCATAGCAAAAATCTTTTAAAAAAACCAACCAAACGTTTTTACTCTTATTCGAGAAAAAAAAAGCTAGGAAGCGCAGTCGTCTATAGACAAAATAATGGCGGGCCTATAAAAATACTTTGCCGCCTCATCTCGGCGATTGGCGAGGTTTACCACCCAGTTTCTTTGGATTTTCCTCAAAATAATAATAATGGCAAAGAGTTACATGTACATAAACTAGATAATAATATACGCATGGCTGGCTCCAATGCTTTATTACATGTCTGGATAGACTTTGGAGAAGCACGACATAATATTTTTCCTCTCCAAGTTTTTAAGGTGTCGCCTACATGATATAGTTATCAGCATTTCTGTGGCGACAAACTAGGTCAAGAATTCCAAGCCCATTGCTTTTACGAGGTACTCAAAGAGGAGTTTCCTGTAACAACATTTGAGCAACGCAAGTCGAGTAGAGTAATAAAAAGCTAATAAAAGTAATCAGTTTTTGAAAGAGTTTTAAGGCATTAACAACACAAATAGGTCGTAAAAGTGTCACAAACACCAGAGATGTTACTAGAGAGTAACATATAGACATACAAAGGAGGAGAGATAAGGACGATCGATGTCTTTGACGGCAAAGAAGGAGCAAACCACACAAAAGCACCCGCCAACCACCCACTAAAGGTGATCGAAAAGGTGTTATGAGTGAGTAAATCTGGGAGGGAAAAGTGAAGCGAGTAGCCCAATTTTACGAAAGAAATCTCGTCCTCTCATATTTTGAAGGTTCATGTACTGGATTTTCTGATTCAGCAGAAGTGGCTATCGGCTTATTTGTTACTTTATTTGAAATTCTTTCCCAAAATGCCCTGGAAAATAGCAGCGCCTCCCTATAAATATGTTTTTCTCGGTCTATTTTCGGTAAACATTTGAACCAAATTATGTTTCACTCTGTCAGATATTGGGGTATCTTCAAGATTTAAAGTGTGGTATGTAGGAAAGAAAGTACAACAGTTTTCAGATTAAAATGGGGAAAATGACAACATGACTTGTTTTCTTAAGCTCCCCCCCCCACCAAACAACAACAACAACAACAACAACAACAACAACAACAACAACAACAACAACAATAGCAACAACAACAGCAGCAGAAGCAGCAAGAACAACAACAACAACAACAACAACAACAACAACAACAACTCGCAAACAAACACGCACACAAACTCATAAAACCCACAAGAACGTAGAACTTATTTTTTAAAAACATTCAGTAACGCAACATAAAATACCAGGTAACATCTTTATTATTATTATGGCGAAACGCTTTCCATTATACATCACAACAGTCCAAGTACAGAAACTCCTCTCAGGATTGAAAAAAACCCCCATTAAAAAAAAAACCACCGCGCAAAACTGCGATGGTATGGTATGGGTTTAAAACTTCTTTCAATACTGAACGATTTTGAAAAGACGAGACTTCCAGATGAAACCTCCATCTCATCTGGTTGCTTTTAAGAACAAGGGGGCTATCCCGAAAAAATGCTGTTTTAAGAAAATCGAAGGTAAAGTTTTTGTCCCTTGTTCAGTACCTTTAAAAGACAAGGAGAGTTCTCTCTATAACCCAACACATACGCACAAATGAAACCAAATTTCTCCTATAGGTTGGGCAATGTCCACTTTTGGTGTAAGTCAAGATTTCTGGAAACCATCGAAATCTGGGTTAGCCCGCTTGTCCTTTAAAGTGACCATATGAGACCGAGCCATATAGAAGGCTTTGTAGTCATATAATACAAGAACTCAAAACATTTCACAATCCGGAACTGTCGAATCGGGGCCAGTACGGGAATCCTGATACTGTTCTATTTCTGGGAATCCGGAAAAAGAGTTTACATACCTAAACAGTCAGGTTCAAAATGACACTTCAGTAAACCTCTAAGGAATGTTTGGAAAGGAGATCTGCATACATTTACAACACGGTACCTTAGAATTACAAAATTCTATCTGATAATTTTATTTTGGCCGTTTTGAGTTACTAAGACCGTGAGGTCAGAAACGAAATGATCTATCCCCTCTTTTCAAAATCGTATGCTTATTCGGAGTCGTCACCACGATATTCAAAGAATTACATTCGAAAAAGCTTGACATTTTGTGAAACTCAAAACCTTTTTCGTAAAATGTCTCAAAACTAGGTAGGCCTACTGAGCAGATAAAACTTTGTAATTCTAGGACAGCGAGAAGTCGTCACGGGAAACATGGAGGAGATGCGTGGAAAGGGACATGAGAGAAATGAAGCTCACTTGGAACGAGCTTGGAAGGATGGCTCAGGACA